GATGCACCAGCAGAGATAGAGACTGCACCTCCACGCCCTATCTCACTGAGCGGCCAGACTCTCTGGTAACTTTGCAACCGATCAGTCACAAATAAAAAGGCTATATATAACTAGCAGTCTCGCCCTTTTTAGTTTCTTTAGTATGCTACCATGTCCATGAGTGGGCAAACGTAGCAATTCGTTGATTGGATCAGTGGCGGATTAAGAGTTTCAGAGGCTCCAAGCACAGAGGTCATATAGGCCCCTAGTTGCTTGGATTTAGAAGATAGAAAATATAACAAAGGCGAGGAGAGGAATCCCCTGGAGAACAGGGTCCTCAAGCACGTGCTGGTCATGCTTATGCGTTAATCCGCCACTGAATTGGATGTTGGAGAATCAACAAGTGATTTTGCTAATAAATTCATCTTTAACGACGAGGTGCATTTCCATCTTCGTCGCTTACTGTCGAGTTATCAGATCATTCTAAACAAGTAATAATATTCGATGAACGGTAAAACTGTGATGTATGTGTCATCATTGCGAAGAATTCCGGGGAATACAGTGAAGTGGCCGCCAAAATCATGCGATCTCACGCCATGTGACTTTTTCCTGTAACGATTCGTAAAGTCCAAAGTTTATTCTGCTCAAATAAATACCATTCCTGAATTAAAGGCAAAAATTCGCATGACAAAGAATTTTCTTAAATGAAGTCCTCTTTCATATTTAATGGCAATGATTACGCATTAAAAACATGTAAAAATTTTGCCTGCGTTTCTTTTGTGACACTCTTAATAGGTATATGTACTTAACTTCATCGTTAAGGTTCTTGCAGAAAGATTTGATCAGTCGGTTGTACGATGAATGTATAACGATTTTTCTTTCTATTTCCATCATCATCACATTCCGAACTAAAAAAAGGAGCTAGCCAGGCTAATACTTTGAGGAAACCTCAAATGTAGCTTGCAGAACTATCTTCTCTAAAATAAATATCAACGTTAATATATGTATTTCTACATAATATTACAAACTTCTAGAAAACTTTAAGGCTGCATAAGAGTAAAAGATTTACCCTACACTTAATATAACTGTGACAGACAATATCTTGTAGGTACGTCATTTCATCAGTGTCACTGCTTTGATGCTACCCAATCTCCGCTAACGTTTTAAAAAACAGACATATAGGGGATTCACAAATGGAGACCAAAAACGAAACCTCGTATTCTTTGGTGACTTTTAACTTCAAAAAATATTTTTAATATTTTTGAATAATTTAAAAACTAGTCAGTGGAATAATTTGAAATTGGGCACATGTATGTATATAAACATACCTAGTCCAAAAGCTGAGGGCTTTTCCAAAAAATTTACATGCCGCCACTGGCGGAGATACAGGGTATCGGTGACATATTTTTCTAAATAAAATAGTACGCCATTGCTTTACGGTAACAACCATGATATTTTCGGATTCGTATTTCAATTTTCTACAATTACTCTCTTATGTTTTTCGAAAAAAGCCTAATTTAATTTCTGTATCTTTTTAACGAAGCGTCCTAGATAAAAACTTTATAGGAAATACTCCCCTTAAAATTCACTAAAGAATACGAGGATTCATTTTTGGTCCACATTTGTGAATAACCCTGTATATTAATTGATAACAATATTCAAATTGATTATTACGAGAATGACTCCAAAAGAAATGCTCCATGTTTTTTTTTATCCAATTTATTTTCCACACCTTTGATACTTTTACATTACCCATGTTGATTCTTGAGAGACAAAATGTCATTTTTCCACATAATCTCTATCACTTTCAACTGCCTTTTCTCCACCGTGTAACTATGGCGCGTTTGAGCCACTGTTTAACAGTATTCACAAGGGAGTCATCATCTTCAAATCTCGTTCCACGAAGGGATTCCTTCAGTTTATTGAAGAGGTGGTAATCACACGGTGCCAAATCAGGGCTGTATGATGTTTTAATGTTGTCCTTTGTGATCTCGGTGGCGGTTTTCGCACTGACATATGATCGGGCGTTGCAACAGCAAAACATTAATCCTGTTTTTTCCGAACTTGTCGAACGCGACACATTCAAATATGAAGTTTTTTAAGGGTTGCCACGGAAGCGTAAGAATTGATAGTGGTTCCCTGTGGCAAAATGTCTACAAGCAACAGTCCTTCTGAATAAAAAAACACAGTAGCCATCAGTTTTCCTGCTAAAGGCGCAGTTTTAAATTTCTTCTGCTTCGGCGAGTTTGCATGAGATGTCATTCCATCGATTGGCTTTTTGTATTCGGTTTAGAGTGATGTATCCAGGTTTCATCTCCAGAATTTTCGTGTTTCAAAAGTTCGCTGCAAACTATCTTCCATGTTTCTTTGTGGGCATCCATCAAAATTCTCGGAAATCAGCTGGCGCAAGCCTCCCACTTGGATTGACAGTTCATTCACTGTTATGCGTTTTTCAACCAAAATCAGATTGTGAATACGCTGCACATTGTCAGGAGTCAGTGTAATGCTCCGTCTGCTGCTGCGTTGGAGATCCCCAGATAATCTGCTTGCCCAACGACTAACTGTACCAAGTGGTTCAAATTGGTCGGTTTTCAAGGGTTACTGCGAATCTGTCATAGATAGAGCAAATCTTATAGACGAGTCCAGAACTTAACATTATTAGAAGCGCGTTAACACTGTAAACACAAATGAAAAATGGTTCTTTACTCAAATGAAGACAAATACAATTTAATAAAATGTTTTAAACTAAGAAATGAAAATGCAGATTTAGCAAGGGATCTTTATTTTCAATTGTAGGTATTTATAATTTGATTGTAGTAAAATTAACGTAATACGTTTGGCATACATTTATTAAATTTTAAGGTAATCAGAGAGGCTACAACCCAGCATGAGAATTTTCGAAAAATTAAAATTAAACTTGAATACTTATGGATCTTACACTAAACCAACGAACAAAATTTACAAAAGAGCTAACTGAGAGAAACAGGAAAATGATGTTCTACAGTGTGTTAGACAAAATCCTAATACCTAGACAAATAGAAGTAGATAGTGGTGTTAAAAGGAATACTTCATGCATTATCATTTCTTAGATTATATTAAAACATTTTATTAAATTGTATTTGTATTCATTTGAGTAAAGAACCATTTTTGATTTGTGTTAACACGTTTCTAATAATATTAAACGTCAAACTTGTTCGTTTTCAAAGCCCTCTCAGTCAGAAAACTTTTAAATATCGTTGATATTTTGAAAATTTTATATTTTTCGCAAATCTATACAAAAAATAATAAGTACTTATTTTTGGAATTCATTTTTAGCCCCCTTTCCGTTTTTGAGATAGAATACCTACATATAAAAAACAAAAGTTGTGGTCATATAACAAAACTAAAAATAGTGTCACATTTATTTTTGTCATCGAGTGTATCTCAAAAAAGTGCCTGTAGAAAGTTCAAACCGTTTTAAGATATCTTGAATGTGAAACGAGAAAAGGGCACAGTCATCGGTTTAGCCAAAAATCGAAAAACGCCCTGTAGCTCGAAAACGGTAACAGATAGACAGATGCGGTTTGCGCCATTGTTATTTTGTCGAAAAATGAACTCTGGACTCGTCTATCAGATTTACTGTGTTTAAATACAACAGGAAGAATTTGTCTATGACCTCCGTGAATAGGAAAGATATGGAATAGTTGGATTATTAAAAAAATGTTGTGCATATTTTTTGGAGCGACCCTCGTATTTATTGACGTAAGCACTACCCCACCTCTGGCTTGTGCTCTTAATGCACAATTGTATCATAAAATCAGAAAATTTCATTTTTTATTAGTATTAATCACTGACTATCTTCTAGAAAAGTTGAATGGTGAAAACTACATTTCGATATCTTGTTTTGGAAATTTTTTTATGCCTTTTAACTTTTTTGTTTATGAAAATATTTGATTATGTATTTAACAATTCTTTACGTAAAACATAATGGAGTACGCAGTATTTTTCTATAACTTCTTTGTTCCCAAGATTTTTAACTATAATATAAAGTTATATTTGTTTAATGTTTTTCGATTTTTAAAATCCTCATAAAATGTTCTTCGAAATGATGTATAACACATACTTTCATAAGAAAATGCTTTACTAAAATCTGGTAATACTAGACAAGTGTTGTTATTATTATCCATAGAAGCGCAAACATTTTCGATTAAATTAATTAATGATGTAGATGATGTGTTTTTGCGAAATCCAGATTGCGTAGAAGGTAGGTATCAATTTACTGTGACAAATAAATATTCTTATATCTGATTATAAGCGGTGTCAATTTAATAACCGGTAATTATTATTGTTATATGAATTACTGTTTCTAAACGTTTTTTATAAATTTATTTTAAATTGAAATGGTGTCTTTCTGAAACTGAGGTCCCTACTTCATTAGTTGAAAAAAAAAAAGATTTCTAGAGAAAATTACTTCGTAATTAATAGACGCCATGTAACAAATAAAATATTGGAAACTGCTATTAAAAAAGACAGTAATGTCGTCCTAGCTCAAAAACAGTTAAAGTTGAACAGTTGAAAGTAAAATTTAATAACATTATCAAAAGGACCTTAAAAAAACTGATTTTGCCCTTCCCACAAACCTTATTCATTCTCGCTCCTCATTCAGTATTCTTCGATTTTGTTACACAATGTATAATTTTATGATAGGTATACTAAATTTGCTAGTTTACCAAAAATTATTAAAATTTACGTACATGGGTTGTTGGATCCAATAATAGTCGATAAAACGGCAATAAATTAACAAATTACATTTGTCAACAATCGGGAAATGATCGTGTAGGAGGGGTTCTGCGAAACCGTAAAATGGACCTCTTCGGAAAATTTATTGCATCAATTGAAAACACTGTTTACTATTCAATTTATAAGAAGTAAGTCTTATAAGCAAGAAACATTGTTGTCGTGTGGCGGCTGCGCTGACTTCTTATAGAAAAAGGTGGATGCGGCGGGAGAATCATCCTCATCAGTCTTGTAACATCACTCTAATTGAAACATTATTTTACACCCCATTTTTATGTTACCCTTAAACAAGTCAGTGTACAACAATAATTTAGTGACACATTATTGAAATTCAGATCTTCCGTAGATGTGGCTTCCAGTTTCAACAATAGCGGCTATTTGCGTGCTCTTCGATGCCTGTGAGACATCAAATTCAAACAACGACTTGGAAATCGCGTTTAGAGAAAGGTATTTATTAAAAATTGTTTATTATATTGCACTTTTTAATTTCGATACTGTAGTTTCGTGCTTCATACATCAAATTTATAAAGGGTGTCTTCGTTTTTCATTCGCAACTTTGATAAAATTGTCTTTCATCTCAAAATATTAGCTTTTTATTGTGTAGTGTATAACAAGTTTCAAAAAAATATGTTTATTTGTTCAATAGGTTATCTAAAATACAAATATTTTTGAAAAATTTGACGCTCTGTATCACGAGAACGTAAGTTCTTAGAGAAAAAAGTTATAGGGAAACCCGATTACAAGCTCTATCCTTTGGCAAAGTTGTTAATGAGAAAACGGAGACACCCTGCGTAACTGGCGACTTTATTATTAATATAAATTTGTTTTCACCGTTCGTTGAGTATATCCTGAATACGGGGTGTGTATAAAAATATTTTTTTATCTTGGTACTTGGTAAGCGCCATTGACGTGCAAAGAGATTTTTCATTACCGAGAACAGAAAAAAAGTTATATTATTAGTTATTAGTAAGAATTAAATTTGGGACTATTTTTTTCTGATCTCTTACTCGATTACATCAAATTTTGTTAGATATTTGAATTTTTTTATTATTTCTTGACCACATTTTTGTAATAGAAATATTTGATAGTTGTTTTTTAAATAGTTCGTACAATTAAATAAACACTATCAAACGATGATTAAACTGTCGTATACCCCCTAGTTTAACTGGAAGTATATTAAATTCTGTGACTTTAAATAAGAGCCCTGTACAAATTATTTTCATTTTCACCTTACGTACATATTTTTGTGTATGCAAAAATAAATTGTTTGGGAAGATAAACTTTAAAAAAAAATTCTAATCGGCTTCAAAAAAATTGTAAACGATTTTCGCCTGTTATACGAGTATTTCTTTGATAGAGGTATGAATCTGTTGGTAGTTATTCTGAATATTCATCCAGACATTTGCAAAAACAACCGATTCTCGTTTGTCGCATTTAAGAGATATCAGATAAAAATATCTTTACGAATTATTTTATTTACCTACGATCTATAAAATGTTATATATTGAGACATTTACATGAAATAAACCTTTTTGATAGTTAGTGCAATGAAGAATTGTTTAAACCTGCACTATTTTTTAAAATTATATATAATTGTTTATACTTCCGGTTAAACCGGAAGATGCACGACAGCTTAGTAATTACCCAACAACAGTATCATATTGTACAAAAGATTTCAAATTTACATTACATTACAATATTGTACAAACGGTGGGTATTAACGAAGTCAGCGAACAGGAAAGAAATCTGAAACGCCAATGGGAATAGGAAAGTAGCACACCCTGTATAATCGTTTTTTTTTTTGGATAAATCGAGTTATAGTGCATAATTGAATTTTTATTTAAATGAAATAACTACAATCAGTATGTAAACAGTATTTTCATAAATAATAATTTTTGGGATTAAAATTATTTTAAAACCTTAATTAGATATTAAATTATTGTGTTGCTGAATGATACTAAATTTATATATCGGCTATCAAAGAAAATATCATATCATAAGCTTATATTCGACAATTTTCGAGATGTTGACAGAATCAATGTGTAGTAAATTTTTAACAAAAAAAATCGCTGATCTCTGTTTTCAAGATGTACTTAAAAAAATCCAGTTTGCGAAGATATGAGATCTACATCAGTTTTTAATTCTCAATCATTACCATTTCCAAAATATTTTATCGGTAGCTCCCGTCAAAGTATGATTATTTCAAAAATTATACAGTGGCCGTTATAAAATTTACACGATATAGGGAACATCTTTATTTATGATTTTTAAAAAAACTCTTCCTTACAATTCTGTTCTATTCTTCTATTCCAGTTTCCTTCTAATTATGCTTGTCTGCATATAAAATAAGGGTAATTTAGATTTACAATGTTTGGATCACGAGGAAATTACGTGATTTTAATCAGCTAAAATTAAGGATAAATTGTGATTTTAGAAAAAGGAAATATAAAAAATTTTAGGTAAATTCTAACAACATTAATTAATACTAATATCGACAAAATTTTACTCTATTTAAGAAATACGTAAGGCACTTAAGTTTTAAAAACATTGAACAAAAAAAATCGGAGCTGACAGTTTTCGATTTTTTTAATATTGACTTTGATTGTGTTTTTTTATATTTAGTTAAAATTATCGAAAATTATTAATTGTAATTTTGGCCGATTAAAATAATGCTATTATCTTATAGATTAATTGAACTAAGATACTGAAAAGCATATACGTACTTCATTTTGTGGTCCTATTTAATAATAAAAAAATAATATTTACTGTACCTAATATCAGAAAATTAAAGAAAGGTTTAAGAATTCTTTTAGTTGGACTGTAAACAATGAAGTTACAACTGACTTCTAAAAATATATTTTTTTTAAATAAAATCGAAATCTTTTTTTTTGTAAGAAAATGATAGACTAAATAACTATATAGGTAATATCCGGAAAGAGAAAGCTGCAAAGGAAATTCTTTGTAAAATGATTATTTATATGTACCTAAAAAATCCTAAATTAAAAATATTAAGCATCTTTTGAATCAAATCTTGTAATAGATGTACCTATTTACCTAAACGAAATAAATTTCTTGTTCAAATAAATAATTGTAAGGTTTAGGTACCTACCTCAAAAATTACTTGCCCAAATTTCGAATAACGTATTTCCTTTGAACACAGATATAATTATTGCACCTTTCGCTATTAAAAATGAATAGTTATAGGTGTTCAAACTGCAAAAATTAAATTTTTACGCCAAAGTATGTTTTTATCAAATCAGAAATCGATCTTATTTTCTTTTTTTCTTTTTTCTTCGTAAGGAAAAAATAAAAAGGGGGTCACATTTTATTCTTGCACTGTAGACATACATGTATATTCTTCGTAAAACTACGAATAATTGAACATTTTTAATATAAATTTTGCTCTTCACTAATCTTCATATATTTAAAACAAGCACAATATTTTTATCACAAATTTAAAACAAAATATGATAGATATACTCTTAGATACATGTTATATGAAATGACAAAATTTTGAAAACAAATTTTCGTATAGGATAGAGGTAAAAGAAATTTGCAATTTTTTATGTTTTCAAACCAACAGATATAATCAAACTAAATTTGGTGTACCTACATTATACCTGCATATAGGTATTGCCTTAATATATAATAATACTAAGTTTTTTAAATAACCAGTGGTGGAGATATGAACAATCGCCTTAATTAATTAAGTTAAAAAGTAGTTTCTTGTACCGAGTAAAAAATGAATAGCATTTTTCCACGAATTTTTAAATTTTAAGTGAAAAATGTATCTTGATATTTTCACGGAAATCTGTTTCACGGAAAATTCATTTTTTTTTGTTTTGTAAAGTACAAGGGAAGCTTAGTGGAACATGTTAAAAAGTGGTCCTAGGAAAAATCCTATTTATTTTCAAAAATATTGTCATATTACTTTCTCGTACGTACGTACATTCATTGATAAGTAATTACAATCAACCATATTCGAATTTAAGAGCTCGACATTTAAATTAATAGGTAATTAAATTGTCCCTTTATATATTTCTCAACTAACAGTGATGAACTTTCAAGGACCTAGGACATGACATAAGGGTAGAGAGCTATTTAAAATTTTAAGAGGGAAGGATTCGGGGCAGCATCCCATTTGGTTTAAAAAAAAAATTGTGGTGGACCATTTACAGTGGAGATCCCATCCGACATTATATATTCCAACCCACGCAATAAATTTTCAAAAAAATTGAATGATACATGTGATACAAAAACTAGGCTATATTTCCAGTATATATTTCTTTCAAATTATAGATGTATATTAATTATAGTTATATTAATTCCCTCCAAACTTATAAGGCCCCACATTGTATATTCCAAGTATCTACTAATAGACCGGGAGATATTAGACTGAAGTTCGACGACGTCTTTCTCGTTTATGCCTCTGAGAGTACTAAAAGGTAACCGAGAGACAAGTACAATAAACTAAATTTAAAAGATGGGCTGCGGGACACCTTCGTGAAAATTCAATTTTCCTTTTCAAAAAAAATAATGTGTACAACGACGTATTTCTCACTTATGCCATGTTCGTAAGTTGAAGAGAAGTATCGATTTTATCACGAAATTTTTTTGGCATAAGTGTCGCAAGAGACCTAAATATGGAAAACTTTGTAAGAAAATGTGGAAAAACATCTTTATTTGTCTACCAATTTCTCATTAATGCCAATTAGAAATATGACATTATTATATTCGAAAAGCTCATAAAAAACATTGGCATAAGTCCTACTAAGGACTAAAGAAAATAGGGCTTTGGAAAAGCTGCGGAAAATTTTTCGTTTTGGTCAACGTTTTTCTCGTGAATAAATTAAAGCTTATTGCAAAGAAAAAAATGAAAGTATTCATTTTTTTTAAAGGGCATAAGTCCCTGGTGAGGACTATATGCTAAAAATTTTTTGAAAAGTTGTAGGAAAATTCATGAAAATTTTTACGTCTTTCTCGCTTATGCCATTTTGCATGCACGTAGGAAACTACATTATAAAGTCATATAAATGTAGGCATAAGTCCACATTGGATTTTCATGTTGTAAATTAATTTGAATTTTAATACGAGTCAGGTCGACAAAGTAGAAAAATAATAGAAAATTGCCACAATTTTCTCGTTTATGCCGTTTCGTACACGAGTAGAAAATATTACTAAAAGCCATTTTCAAGAGTGGCATGAATGCCACAAGGTACCGTCGTATGTAAAAATTTTTAAAAAGTTTATTTCATCGCCTACGCAATTTTCGAAATACTTATACTTACTTGCATTTAGCGTATTTTTAATTTTTATAAATATAAGTAATTCATGTATTTAATGAAAGTTAATAATAAACTATTTCGGCTTAAGTCCCCACATATTAGAAATGATTTTTAATTATTCTTTGAGTCATGATCAGAAAAAGAAAAATTATATAATATTGC